ACCGTCAAGAGAGCCCTGCTGGGTCAGACCGGGGATGGTCCCTCCAGTCCAGCCTCCCGTCTTATTCATTCATTCATTCATTCATTCATTCACTCACTCATTCATTCATTTAATTTGCATCCCGCCCTCCCTGCCAAGGCAGGCTCAGGGCAGCTTACATAACACATATTAAACATTAAAACACAAAATTAAACAAAACCACAACAATACATTTTTAAAACGCGGCGTAAAGTGCTAGTGCTGTTCGCGGGTGACGGCGGACGTTAGCAGCATCTGACTGTAACGTGAATGGTGATGGTAATTTAGGTCTGGCATTAACATGTTGAAGACGGTGTTAGTTTGGGGCCAGGGTCTCAGTTTATTTGGGCGGCTCCCTACTTGAAGGCCTGGTGGAAGAGCTCCGTCTTGCAGGCCCTACGGAAGTGTAAAAGGTCCCACAGGGCCCTGATCTCCTCCGGGAGCTTGTTCCACCAGGCCGGAGCTGCCACTGAAAAGGCCCTGGCCCTCGTCGCAGCCAGGCTGGCTTCTCTAGGACCCGGGAGGACCAGACGATTCTGAGACCCCAATCTTAGTGCTCTCCCTGGGGAATGTGTGGGGAAAGGCAGTCCTTTAGGTATATAGGCCCCTGACCATTTAGGGCTTTAAAGGTAAGAACCAGCACCTTGAACCAAATTCGGTATGCCATAGGCAGCCAGTGCAGTGCTTTCAGTGCAGGCTGGATGTGCTCCCACATGGGGATACCCAACAGCTTTCGGATTTGGGACCAGGGCAGCCCCATGCAGAGAGCACTGCAGTAATCCAGTCTTGAGGTGGCCATCGCATGGATCACTGTTGCCAAGTCATTGCGTTCAAGGAAGGGAACCGACTGCTTGATCAGTTGAAGATCCGTCACTGCTAGCTGGGCCTCCATCATTAAGGAGGCGTCCAGGAGCACTCCCAGACTCCTAGCCTCTGGCGCTGGCACCAGCGGTGCCCCATTGAAAGTCGGGAGTGGAATCCCTGCCCTCAGACCAGCTCAGGCACAGGACCTCCCTCTTCGTCAGATTCAATGTCAGTCGACGCAGTCTAAGGCAGCCAGGCACAGCTTTCAACGCCAGGTCCAGATCTTCTGGACTAGAGTCTCACACAGGGGCCAGCCAGTTCCCCCGGAGGGCCAACACCAGGGCAGAGAGGCCGAGGCCTTCCCTTGAGGTGGCCTGGTTCCCACACACACACACACCCTGCGTGCATAAATGCTCTTCTGCAGCTCCTGCGGGAGGGTTCTGACCAGGTGATCCGGCAGCACGGCCTCCACTCCGGACTTTCCTCTGCCGCTTTCTACCTGTCCTCCCGGCAAAGCTGCTTCTTTGAGGACAGGTGAACAAAACCCGTAGGGGGGGGCAGTTTGTTGGCCAAGCCTGGGCAGGGGGCCGGGCCCTGAGGCAGTCTGGAGGGGGCCAGCAGTGGGGCTCCCTGCCAGTGTTCCCTCTAAGCTGAGTCAGGGTGAGCCAGCTCACAGTTTTTTAGCCTCCAGCTCACAGATTTCTGTCTTAGCTCAGGAAGGAGGGCTCCAGACCAAACTCATTTATGCAGCAACCAAATCGCTCGCTCACAACTTTAATGCCAGCAACTGACAAAGTAGAATTTTTGCTCACAGGACTCCACAGCTTAGAGGGAGCAGTGTTCCCTCTAAGCTGAGTCACAGTGTGAGCTAGTTCACAGTTTTTTAGCCTCCGGCTCACACATTTTTGCCTTAGCTCAGGAAGGATGGGGCTCCAGAGCAAACTAATCGATGCAGGAGCCCAATCGCTGCCTCACAACTTTAATGCCCGGAGTTCGCAAAGTAGAATGTTTGTTGCCAAGACTCCACAGCTGAGAGGGAGCATTGCTCCCTGCCCAGCCCACCCACGTCTGCCGGGGTGGAATCCAGAGGGCCGGGGCAGAGGCGCACTCCTTTACCTCGGCCTGCGGAGGGACAGGCAATTCCTAACGAGGGAGGGAGGGAGGGAGGGGTCGGGACGAATGTTGCTTTGGGGGAAACTTTGTCCTTTTGGATGTGCAGGAGACCGTTTGTTTGGGAAGAGAGGCGATAACCCTCCTTCCCGAAGGTCAACAGCTCTCCTGCCAGGAACTAACGTTACCTAATCAATCAGGGAAATGCACTCTTTCTGGGCCAGAGTACCAAACGTCCCACAGCATTTACTGGCAAAGAGGCTGGCATGGAGTGTCAGAAGACAAGAAGCCAAAACCCAAAAAAGAGGGGGGGGGGTGAGAGTTACCCTTGGAGAGGCACCTTTGGGGTGACTTGTGGGTACCTCAGGCAGAGGGTTAAGCGGGGGGGGGCGCTCCCTCTGGAACGGGCCTTCCAAGCGGGCGTAATAAATTCAGCCTGGGCGTGGAAAGGTGTGCGCCAACATTCAGACAGACAGCGGAAGAAGAAAGCTTTCCTGGTTGCCTACAGAGCAGTTTCCAGGGGCTGCATTTATCCCTCTGCAGTCTCCTGGTGGGCGTTGGGAGGGGGTTAGACAGATGCCGGGAGGGAGGAGAGGCCCATCAACGGCAGGGGTCATTTCGTAGAAAAAGAGCTAGGGTAACTCATTAGCATAACTCATTAGCATATGCCACACCCCCTGACATCGCCGGAAGTGTGTCATAAGGCCACACCCACCACTCGGTTAGTCTTAGTCTTAAAGGTTAGTCTTAAAGGTGCTATTTGTTAGTCTTAAAGGTGCTATTTGAACTCTTGGACTATTTTGCAGCAACAGACTAACACAGCTACCTCGGGGAAGCTCCTGGATGGGGCTGGGCGTCCTTGCGGAGGCCACGTGGAGTGGCCACGGCCAGGCAGAGGGGGAGGACGCCAACTTACCCTCCTGCTTCTTCCTCCTTCTGCAACAGAGGAGGCTGGAAGCAGGGGGCGGCCGGAAGAAGGGGCGGGGCTTCGTTGTTTGCCCCGCCCCCCGCACCTCACCCGGGGGAACTGCGATCCCCCGCGATCCCCCCAAATAGACCTCTGATCAAGGGCTCCTAGACAACAGAGGGACTGGAGGGAGCCTCCGTAGGCAGAGGCGGTGTGCCCCTGAATCCCAGTGCCAGGGGGAGGCCACATCGGGGGAAGGCCTCGGCCTCGCTGAACCCCGTCTGTTGGCCGGCCAGGACAACCGGCTGGCCGCTGTGTGAGACGGGACGCTGGACTGGACGGAGCCACCTGTAGGTTTGGGGATAAAAGCGGACATTTAAAACGTATGACCATAAGCAGGTAAAGTGAGAACATAAGAGAACAGAAGAGAAGCCAATGTTGGATCAGGCCAAAGGCCCACAAAGGTCATAACCCCTCCCCGCCCCGAACATAATCTTGCTGGTCTCTTAGGTGCCGCTGGACTTGAACCGGCCTCTTCCCCCACAGACCAGCGTGGCCATGCAGGACGTTTGAAGCATGGGAGTATTTTGCCTCCTGAGGCTCCTGCTGGGCACAGAGCAAAGGATGCCCCTGAGGGGGACAGTCCACTGATCATGTGGGCAGGGGAGGGCGAGAGCCGGGGACCCGGTGGCAGCCCACCCCAAACCTGAATGGCCTCATGGTTTTCCCGATTTTCTTCAGTTTAAGTCTGAATTTTGCAATGAGTAGCTCATGATCTGAACCACAGTCAGCTCCAGGTCTTGTTTTTACTGACTGGATAGAGCTTCTCCATCTTTGACTGCAAATTATATAGTCAATCTGATTTCGGTGTTGCCCATCTGGTGATGTCCATGTGTAGAGTCGCCTCTTAGGTTGTTGGAAAAGGGTGTTCGCTATGACCAGTGTGTTCTCTTGACAAAACTCTGTTAACCTTTGCCCTGCTTCATTTTGCTTTCCAAGGCCAAACTTGTCTGTTATTCCAGTTACCTTTTCACTTCCTACTTTAGCATTCCAGTCCCCTATGATGATGAGGACATCATTTTTTGGTGTTAGTTCTAGGAGGTGTTGTAGGTCTTCATAGAACCGGTCTACTTCAGCCTCTTCTGCATCAGTGGTTGGGGCATAGACTTGGATTACTGTGATGTTGAATGGTTTGCCTTGGAATCGGACAGAAATCATTCTGTCATTTTTGAGATTGTATCCCAGTACTGCCTTTTGCACTCTCTTGTTGACTATAAAGGCCACACCATTTTTTCTACGAGATTCCTGGCCACAGTAGTAGATATAATGGTCTTCTGAGTTAAATTCGCCCATTCCTGTCCACTTTAGTTCACTGATTCCTAGGATATCGATGTTCAGTCTTGCCATCTCATTTTTGACCACGTCAGGCTTACCTTGATTCATAGATCTTACATTCCAGGTTCCTATGTAGTATTGTTCTTTGCAGCATTGGACTTTCCTTTCACCATCAGACACATCCACAACTGAGGGTCCTTTCGGCTTTGGCCCAGCCGCTTCACTCTTTCTGGGGTTACTTGTACTTGCCCTCTGCTCTTCCTCAGTAGCATATTGGACACCTTCTGACCTGAGGGGCTCATCTTCCGGCGTCATATCTTTTAGCCTTTTGTTACTGTCCATGGGGTTTTCTTGGCAAAGATACTGGAGTGGGTTGCCATTTCCTTCTCCAGTGGATCACACTTGGTCTGAGTTCTCTGCTGTGGCCTGTCCGTCTTGGGTGGCCCTCCACGGCATAGCCCACAGCCTCATCGAACCACGCAAGCCCCCTTGCCACGACAAGGCAGTGATCCATGAGGGATCCGCATAGGAAGGCCAAGCGCCGAAGAATAGATTCGTTTGAACTATGGTGCTGGAGGAGACTCTTGAGAGTCCCTTGGACTGCAAGAAGATCAAATCAGTCAATCCTAAAAGAAATCAACCCTGACTGTTCCCTGGAAGGCCAGATAATGAAACTGAAGCTCAAATACTTTGGACACCCAATGAGAAGGGAGCACTCACTGGAGAAGAAGACCCTGATGCTGGGAAAGATTGAAGGTCAAAGAAGACGGGGACGGCAAAGGATGAGATGGTTAGACAGTGTCATCGATGCAACGAACATGAAATTGAGCAAACTTCAGAGGACGGCGGAAGACCGGAAGGCCTGGCGGGAGCTGGTCCATGGGGTCGCGAAGAGTCGGACTCGACTGTGCGACTGAACAACAACAACAGCAATCCAGCCTTGCTTGCACATGCAGGCTCAAGGCGGCGTACATAGATTAAAATATTGTGAGAAAGGGAGAAAAGTACCTCTTTCTCTACCTGCTCTATCCCATGCATCATCTTATAAACCTCAATCATGTCACCCCTCAGCCGTCGTTTCTCCAAGCTAAAGAGCCCCAAGCGCTTTAATCTTTCTTCATAGGGAAAGTACAACACCAAAGGCTTAACATCCTACATCGAATATGTTCTTGAGCAAAGATTCCACGTGTTGTACCAGTGCAGCGCGTGCCGTTAGCTCTTTAGCATGTTATATATATTTTTTCTGTCCCAGAGTCCCGTCCCTTGGCTGAGTCTGGCCTGCAGAAGGAGAGAGAAGGCCGAGAGGGTGGCTGAGGGAGCGGCTGGTTCTGCGCAGGCCCCCGAGCCAGAGAGAGAGAGCGCCCAGACCTGCGGCAGTGGCAGCAAGGGCCACTGAAGAAGAGCACGCCCGGGAGGAAGCGGCAGCCCTCTGCTTCTTCAGTGGAGCTGGGGAAAGTGCAGAGGAGGCGGCAGGGCTTGGAGCCCCTGACCTCGGAGGAGAGGCTGAAGAGTCTCTGGGACTTTGCAGGTTAGAAAAAAGAGATGATTTTTTTTCTGGGGGGTGGACACGACATGAGAGAGGGCTACCAAATCATGCATGGGGTGGAGAGAGAGTGGCCAAAGAGTACTTTTTTCTCCCCCTCCCAAAATACTAGAACTTGAGGGCATCCAAGGAAGCTGATGGGCAGTAGGTTCAGGATGCACAAAAGGAAAGACTGCTTTACACACCGAGTGACTGAAATGTGGAATTTGCTGCTCGAGGATGTAGTGAGGGCCAGAGGAATAAACAGCTTTAAAAGAGGATTAGGTCAATTCATGGAGGACAGGTCAATCAGTGGCTACTAGCTACAGTGACCAAGGGGAACCTCCACGTCCAGAGGCACTAAGCCTCTGAATCCCAGAGCCAGTAGGCAACATCAGGGGAAGGCCTTGGCCTCTCTGCCCTGTTGCTGGCCCTCCAGAGGGACTGGCTGGCCCCTGTGTGAGACCAGGAGGCTGGACTAGATGGACC